CATAATGGCGGTTGAGGGTGAAGGTAGAGAGGGGACATGGGAGAGGTGTTGCTGTTTCACTTACCAATACACTCTACGGCCCTCTCAATGTACATCCAGGCACCTGTGCTGTTCCTGCCCCACCAGGTATCTCCATAGACTGGTTCTCCAGAAATCACTCGCAGAAATTCCCTTGCACATTTGACCTTGGGGTAGGATGGCTCAAGATCTCCAAGGCAAGTCAGCGTCAGTACTTCATTCTCTTCATAACTGTCCTTGCTGGGTACAAATTGGAGTCTTTTATCCCACTGGGGTTTTGAGCACTTTCCTGTCAGGGCAAAAGTGTGAGAGTCTTTCTCAAGGACAGGGACTAGTCAGGCGTAGGAGGCCAGATTGAAGAGCTCTTTGCTAGCTATTCCTTGCACCTATAAACTCTCTGCTCTGTGGAAAAGTGGAGCCTGTGTCTCACTGGGATGCTGGCAGAGGGGATGCAGGAGTCAGCATGCTGGGAAGGGGGCTACTGTGGGTCTGCAACTCCAAGGACATCACCCCGGTAAGACAGTGATGGTATGCTGGTGGCTGAGCTGACTTGTTTTTTTAAAGCTTGCCTATGCAACAGGCAAAAGGTGAGGGCCTGATTGGAGCCTCTGAATCAGGACAAAGAGAGAGACCAGTAAGGGTCAACACCATGCTGCAAGTGTTCCAACCTCACCAGGTGAGAAAATGTATGAATTCTTTTTTAAACTACTCAGTGAACAGCATGACTAAACAGGGAACTGAGCTGCAGCTCAGGAGGCATTGTATAGGAGATGGAAGGAGAGGCTGCAAAGGAGAAAGATAAGCACTGCCTCTGCATGCAGAGAGAGTGCTAGGAAAGCCCAAGCTCAGCTAGAGCTGGCCCATGTAAGAGATGCCCGCTTCCAGCCAGATGGCACTCATGGGGCTGCGCTCCCTTACACTGGAACAGGGGCATCACCGCACTTCCCTTATCTGCTAGCAGGTTTTCATGCCATCATCTCAACCCTGCACCCTGGCCCTCCACCACAACGCACAGTAGATGCCACCCCCATCCTTTGCCATTGCGTGTGTTGTCCGGAGAGGAAACTTCTTCCCCCACAGCTGGATGCCTTCCAGTGCCCGCAGATCACACACTTCACTGCGACAGCCAAAGCCTGGACAGACCCTTGAGTCACTCCAGGCCTGGTTAGGCAGCCCCAACACCCACCTTCCCCCATTCCACCACTAAACCCCCTGAAGCAGCGCACCAGTCCTCACAGTCCTGCCCCAGAGTGACATCCAGGGTCCTTCCCACCCCAGCAGACCCTGGGCCACCTGCCCAGCAGCAAGTGTTTCACCAGGGACACCAGCCAGCAGGGAGGAAATCCCTCTGCCATGGAAAGACAAACCATGCTTCAAAGAGCAGATTTCCACCTGTGGGGACAAATGTCATTTTCCTTTTGGAACTTGTCAGGAAACAGGTCCCAAAGGGTGTCTCTCCCCAAGATGCTCTACAGTCTGAAAGGTGAGGCAGAAACACCCTTACGCAGAAGAACGATAGGGGATGCAGCAAGAGCACAGCCTGGCTCAGTCAGGAGGTGACGATGACCTGCCATGCAAGAGGACACAGTGACAAGCAGGTTGCCCTTCTAAGGGAGCAGAAATCAACAAGGATTGCCAGCGAGGAAACAGCTGGCAAGGCCAAAGCATAAGAAGGGACACAGCAAGTGGGAGCAACGGGAGCACAAGGCTGTCTCCTGCAGACCTCAGTGGGGAGTGGAAGGTGAGCAGAACTGGGCCATAGGCACTGTCAGCGAGTACCGCGAGCCTTTGCTGTCTCAGTCTGAAATGCATGGGGCTCAGTCAGACGTTGATGGCTGTCCCCGAGCAGCAAGGACACAGGACACAAAGAGAAAGTGAAAAAAGCACACATCTATGGCAGACGTGATTCCTGGATGACCCTTGAAGAGCGTTGACTGTAGCAAAAGCTGTTGTATGGGGCTCTGCCTGGCACCAGGGCTTTTCTCTCGGTGCAAGTGAAGGCAAGCTCTGCCCCCACCTGCAGTTCTGCTGGGCTACCCATAATCCAGACTCCAACAGCTTCCTTTGCTGCTGCAGAGACCAATGGCACAGCACATGATAGCAGGCAGAGCTTCCATTTGGTGCCCCACACCTCATCTGCAGATACAGATGCATCTGTTTGATAGATCTGCTTAGAGCCAATGCCTGTACCGAGCTCATCACAGACTCCTCCAGATGCGACTCCTCAGGCAGAGGAGAGGAGAGCCATGACTAGTGACTGGCCTTCTCAGGGATGGGCTGTGGGGAATGGGAGAAAGGACCAGGAGCTGCTGCTGAGACAAGGGGAACAGGCTCCATCCTGGATAGCTAAGGGCTTCCCATTGCTGGAAGGGCATCAGCAATTGGTGACATGACTCACGTCACATCTGATGACTTGGCAAACCACTTCTGCTCCCATTTCCCTCCAGACAGAACGACTCACACCTCAGGCCCCCTAACCCCTCGTGCAAAGAGCAGCTGCTCCTGCTGTGCCCCATGGGGACCTCGACAGGTACTGGCAACCCCAGGGCACAGAACACAGTCTCGGTCAGAAAGGCCACAGTCTCCGTAGGAAGAGCCCAGCAGAGACCCAGGAGGTGCCCCTAGCCCTCCAGGCATGGAGAAAGAACACAACAATGCTGTTCAAGAACAATCCCACCAAACCACAGCTCCCCTGACCCTGCAGACTACAGGAGAGAGCAGGCGTCCCAGCTAACACACAGATTCATCTCACACCTCCTCACATCTTTGCTGAGCATCACCACCGACCACCTTCTCCTGCAACAGGGATGCTGCTCTGAGCACACCTGGAAGGCCACATACCGCAGCTTCATCTGTCTACTGCACAACAAGAACTGACCACCTCCTGCTCCCAGGGACACTGCCCACTCCCTACAGGGACATTGCAGCTCTCATGCTCGCAGAGGCTTTCCCAGCACACCAAGGCTTTGCCCCACCACAACCCAAGGGTCTCAGGACTGGTGCAGACACCAGCCACAGCTCTCCCCAACGCAGCTGCAGTGGGCTGAATGGGGTAAAGGCGCATAGCAAACATGCAGGGAGAGGAGCGGCAAAACCTTTTCTGTAAGAGAGAGGTGCAACCCACCCTTACCTGCTTCCTTGGGTCCCCCCTGGTTCTTGGGATCAGAGTCCTGTATCCGTGCAGGCAGCAGAGGGGCAAGGATCAGGAGAGGGGCCAGAGCCAGCCCTCCCAGGGCCATGCCGGCACAAAGTCCCCGGGCAGGACTCAGTATGAGCTGCTGGGGAGAGGTATCAGTGTAACCCAGCGCAGGAGAGGTGCAGACACAGAAATGAAACAGCCACCTAAGGAAATGGCATGTCGTGCAAAAATGCTTCCTCTTTGGAAAGACAACCTCCCACCGACCACAGGACTGCTCCTTGCCCATCTGCCAGCAAGCAGCAGGTCCAGGCTCGATGGCATCTCCTGTGTGCCTTGGTCCAGCCTTTTTGCTGGCTACCTCAGGCCCCTGTAGCCCTGCTCCCACAGACGTCTCAAAACCTTCTCAGATCTGCCTCACTCCTCTCTGCCTTCAGATCTAGTCGTGGTTGTTGAGGAAAACACCTCTGGTTCACCTGCCCAAGCCCACCCCAGTGTGCTCTCATCAGAGCCCTGAATGAGCCACCCAGATACTACATCAGACTTTGCAGTGCTGAGGTGGGAAATCACTGCTCGTTATTCAATTTTTTGAGCAAAGGCTGAGCTCAAAACTAATTTCTTGTGTCCTGGTATCCCCAGGGCAAGGCCGCCATCTCACCTGTGCTGGCCCCAGACAGACCCTAGAGAGACGTCCCATGAAAACATGCAGACATCCAAGTCTCAGGATGCAGAGTGTTCCAGAGCCTTTCACTCATAGCTGAAGGCAGTAGCGAGAATACCTGTGTGAGGGGTGACCAAGTAGGTGATCAGCTAAGCTTGGTGGCAGAGCTTTGAGAGGAAGTGGACAAGCTAAGGAGCATCAAGGATTCTGAGAAAGAGATAAGACTGGTGGAACCATGGTCTGCTCTCCCTGAGAGAGAAAGAGGAACATCAATCAGAAAAAAAACTTCCCTCGAAACCTGATGTGCCCTTCCAGAACTGCTTCACAGCACAGCAGAGACAAGAGGAAAGACCCATTGCATCAGGAGAGGCGCTGGAGCTGAGTAAGGCAACCCAATCTGCTCCACGTACAACAACCAGCAGAACTAAGAAAAGGCAAAGGGTGATAGTAGGTGACTCTCTCCTGAGAGGTACAGGGACACCCAGCTGCTGACCTGATGCACTGTCTGGAGAGGTGTGCTGCTTACCGGGGACTCGTATCAGGGGTGTCACCAGGAGACTACCAAGCCTCGTACACACCTCTGACTATTATCCACTGCTGTTGTTTTACGTGGGCACCAACGATACAGCCAGGAGCAATAGGAGGAATATCAAGAAGGACTATAGAGTCCCGGGAGCAGCAGTCAGAGACTCTGGGGTGCAGGTAGTTTTTTCATCAACCCTCCCGGTCAAAGAGAAGGGGGTTGAAAGGGACAGCCGAATCTGGCAAATCAACAAATGGTTACAGGACTGGTGCCGCAGCCAGGGGTTTGGCTTCTGAGACCATGGGACTCCCTTTGAGAAACCTGGCCTTCTGGGGCCTGATGAGGTCCACTTCTCACAGAAGGGGAAGAGCATCCTTGGTCACAGGCTTGCCAAGCTCATGAAGAGGGCTTTAATCCAGATTTGCCAGGGGAGGGGACCCTTAATCCATCGCACTCCTACCAAACTGATGCCAATGCCAGGGAGGTCAGGGACAGGTAATGTTACAGTGGAGGTCTGCTGCAGACCACCTGGCCAGGAAACCAAGTGGATAAGGCCCTCTACAGACAGAGAGAGCAGCCTCACATTCCAAATCCTTGGTCCAGGGAATAAGCAATGCAGAATATTCCTGGAATGCATCAATGATAACTGTCTTCTTCAAGTGATAAAGGAGCCAACAAGAAGAGATGGCATGATGAACCTTGTTCTCGCCAACAAAGAGGTGCTTGTGGGCTCAAGGGCAGCCTTGGCTGCAGTGACCATAACATGGAGGAATTCAAGATCCTCAAGGTGGTGAGGAGCGTGCACAGTAAGCTCGCTTCCCTGGACTTGAGGAGGGCAGACTTTGGCCTCTTCCGGCATGTGCTTGGTAGAGTAGCATAGGATAAAGCCTTGGAAGGAAGAAGGGCCCAAGACAGCTGAATAATATTCAAGAAAAAGTTAGACAAAAACATCAGAAGGCCCGCATGGATGAACAAGAAGCTCCTGGAGAAACTCACACTCAAAAAGGAAGCCTACAGAGGGTGGAAGCAAGGACTGGTAGCATTGGAGGAATACAGAGAAGTTGTCCAAGCAGGCAGGAATCAGGTTAGGAAAGCTAAAGCCCAGGTAGGGTTACATCTGGCCAGAGGTGTCAAGGGCAACAAGAAAAGCTTCTACACGTATGTCGGTGATAAAAGGAAGACTAGGGAAACTGTGAGCCCACTCAGGAAGGAAACAGGAGACCCGGTCACCCAGAATATGGAGAAGGCTGAGACGTTCAACAGCTTCTTTGCCTCGATCTTCACCAACAAGTGCTCTAGTCACACCGCCCAAGTCACAGAAGGCAAAGTCAGGGACGAGGAGAATGAGAAACTATAGGAGAAGACCAGGTTCGAGAGAAACTCTAGGAAACTCTAGGAGAAGACCAGGTTCAAGACCATCTAAAGAACCTGAAGGTGCACAGGTCCATGGGACCTGATGAGATTAATCTGCAGGTCCTGAGGGAAATGGTCGATGAAGTTGCTAAGCCAATGGCCATCATATTTGAGAAGTCACGGCAGTCTGGTGAAGGCCTGCTGACTGGGAAAGCGGAAACATAACCCCTATTTTTAGAAAGGGGGAAAAGAAAGACCCAGAGAACTACAGTCTCACCTGTGTGCCCAGCAAGATCATGAAGCAGATCCTCCTGGAAACTATGCTAAGGCACGTGGAAAATAAGGAGGTGATTGATGACAGCCAACATGCCTTCACTAAGTGCAAGTCATGCCTGACAAATTTGGTAGCCTTCTTTGATGATGTCACAGCATTGGTGTATAAGGGAAGAGCAACTGAAGTCACCTGCCTGGACTTGTGCAAATCATTTGACACTGTCCCGCACCACATCCTTGGCTCTAAGTTAGGGAGACATGGATTTGCTGGATGGACCACGCAGTGGATGAGAATTGGCTGGACGATCACACTCAATGGCTCAATGTCCAAGTGGTGACGAGTGACAACTGGCATTCCTCAGGGATCTGTACTGGGACCGGTGCTGTTTAACATCTTTGTCAGTGACATGGACAGTGGGATTGAGTGGTGCGGTCAACATGCTGGAGAGAAGGGATGCCATCCAGACAGACCCGGACAGGCTGGAGAGGTGGGCCCATGCAAACCTCATGAAGTTCAACAAGGCCAAGTGCAATGTCCTGCACACGGGTCAGGGAAATCACAAGCACACATACAGGCTGCATGGAGAACGGATTGAGAGCAGCCCTGAGGAGAAGGACTCAGGGGTGTTGGTTGATGAGAAGTTGGACATGACCCAGCAATGTGCGCTCACAGCACAGAAGGACAACAGCCTCCAGGGCTGCATTAAAAGAAGCATGGCCAGCAGGTCAAGGGAGGTGATTCTGCCCCTCTACTCTGCTCTCATGAGACCCCATCTGGAGTACTGCATCCAGCCCTGGGGGCCCCAGCATAAGAAGGACTTGGACCTGTTGGAACAAGTCCAGAGGAGGGCTACGAAGATGATCAGAGGGCTGGAGCACTTCTCCTATGAAGACAGGCTGAGAGAGTTGGCATTGCTCAGCCTGGAGAAGAGAAGGCCCCGGGGAGACCTTATAGTGGCCTTCCAAGAGCTAAAGGGGGCCTACAGGAAAGATGGGGAGGGACTCTTCACCAGGGAGTGTAGTGATAGGATGGGGCATAACAGTGTCAAACTGAAAGAGGGCAATTTGGATGAGATAACAGGAAGAAATTCTTTATTGTGAGCGTGATGACACACTGTCACAGGTTGCCCAGGAAAGCTGTGAATGTCCCATCTCTGGAAATGTTCAAGACCAGGTTGGACAGGCCTTCGAGTAACCTGGTCTAGTGGAAGGTGTCCCTGCCCATAGCAGGGGGGTTGGAACTACATGATCATTAAGGTCCCTTCCAACTCTAACCATTTGCTGGTTCTATGAAAAAAACCAAGATCGAGGGGATCCTGTATCCTCCCCTCACCAGGCAGAAAGCAGTAACTTAAAGGAAAGGAGTGAATGGAGGCAAGTCCATGCTCAGCGCAGCAAGCAAACTGCCTCCTTGCCCACCTCACTTTCCCAAGTGCCTCTGTACAACACATATGAGGCTCTGGATGTGGACGGTCAGTTAGCTGGTGACGTGGCTGACAGTCCATCTACACCAGAGGTGTTGGCAAGGTCAGAAAGGCCTAAGTCCTGAATCACAACCACATTCACAAGGAAGAAAAGATGGGTTGTAGTTGTAGGTGACTCCCTTATGAGGGGACCAGAGGGTCCAATATGCCAGACAGACCTTCCTCTTAGGGAAGTCTGCTGCCTTCCTGGGTCAAGGACATCACTAGGAAACTTCCTAGCCTGGTACAGCCATTGGACTGTTGCCCATTACTGCTATTCCATGTGGGTGGCAATGAAGCTGTAACATGTAGTCCAAAGGCAATCAAGAGACACTTTAGGGCCTTGGGATGGGTAACAAGGGAGTCTGGAGTATGGGTTATTTTTTCCTCTATCCTTGCAGTTGTGTGCAGTAACATTGGAAGAAACAGATGAACCCAGTCTTTTAATACATGGCTCCGTGGCTGGTGTGACCACAGGAATTTTGGATTTTTCCATAATGGGATGGTCTACACTGCACCAGGCCTGCTGGCCTTGCATGGCATTCATCTTTCTCAAAGGGGCAAGAGGGTCTTTGCTCATGAGCTAGAGAGGCTCATTGGCACAGCTTTAAACTAGACTTGAACGGGGATGGGGACAATATCAGGCTTGCCTGTGACAAGCCATGGGATGACACACCACATTTGAGGGATGGGGTGGTAGTGAGAGCCCTCAGCCTCTTGCCCTGCAGCACGCTGGCTACACTGGAGCACACTTGAAGTCTCACAGAGATGAGCCAACTGAAGTGCCTCTACACCCATGCATGCAGCGTGGGCAATAAACAGGAGGAGAT